AACGGAAACAAATTAAGGCCAACAAAAAGCTCCTCTTTCAATATTTTGTACATGCCAGTGAGACAGGGTGGATTTACTGCAAATTTTAACCCTGACTCTGTCTGAAAGAATGTAATAATTTAGTGCTGATGAAAGTGGCTGGGGTGCATTCTAGGTTTGCAACCACATGACAGGGCGGCCATGTTAGGGTCAAAACAATGGAACTTTTTCCAAGAATTTACATAAAAAAGAATTTAGTTGCTGGCGGAGAGAAAGGACATTGTTCCCCCAACAGGGACGCCACTTGCAAAACAGCAATATTTTTGTTGCTTCTAAAAGTGGAGGAGAAGCTGATGTATTTTTGTGACGATCAAGAGTGGCTACAAGACTGTTTGACGCTGATATATTGTTTTCACTCTCAAATACATTTTGAAATTTGATCCTCATTTTAATTACACTTTTCAATGATCTTCACTTGCTGTTGGTGGGGAAAAAAGAAAAGACGTCATCAGCAACCACTGCACCAGACTGCCTAAAATGTGGTCATGCAACACTTCAAGCGTGACTTTGCAAGGGCATAGAAAATTGAGGATTCAACCAAATTCAAAAATGTTCTCATCCAAATGCTTCAAATAAAGTGTGGATTCGTTTTAGCGGAAAAAAAAAATTGAGGGTTAGGTGCACTTTAAAACAAACATTCAACGTTTCTGATTCAAACAGCCACGTTTGCCCGTTCTGGAAGAAAAACTGTATTTAAAATCACGGTTCAAGAAATAAATACCTGGAACAGATGTCATAATGGCTCATGTTATGCTGTGTTACAATTGTTTTGAGCAGATTGTCAAGGAAACTTTAAACGATAGCAATAAAACCCGCACAATGTGAAAGCCCGCTTACAATTTTCACCTTAACAGTGAAAAAAGTTATTTGGAAAAAGAGACGAAATGTTCTCTTTCAGAATTTACGTTTGATGGGACTACTAATGTTGACAAAGGAAATTATGCAACAACCACTGTGACAGGTAACGCGACACGATAACAACAGGCAATCTATATCAATTGCTAGGAGAGAATGTCGCATTGTTGTGGCAACTACACAA